GTGTAATGTAATTTTGAAAACTAAATACCCGTAAGCTTGTTTGTAAATTTATAGACTCTTAACTCCTTCCCCCAGCCTTCATTAAGTATATTAAAAGTCGTGGACGTCATATTGGCACAGATATACGGTAATGTGTTATTGACAATCAGGGAAATAACTACCTAAGATAAGATAAGATAAATGAATGTTAAATACCTACTCATAATATCTATTGTAGGGTTTTTGTACTTTAATAGGATAAATATTTATGCGGGTCTGGAAATTCCAGGAAATGACAGTCAAAATTACCCAAAAACATTAGGTTAGTACCAACATCAGATAACAGATAACTTCGGTGTTTAACCAATTAATCACAATTAATATTCTTGAACATTCAAATGACAAAAACTTCCATCTTTAACCAATGAGAATATAGTTTTCATTCGATACTTCAAAATCACAATTTATTAATTAGGTAGAATAGTTTTAAAATATATTGCGAATTGCAACACGTCAATAAGCGTCCCACTCCGACTCAATGTGACGCAATTATTGTCGCAATATATTTTGAAACGACTCTATATTCGTGACTTGAAATTATAAACATCCCTCGTATTACTACCCGTATATAAACCAAATTATTTATTTTAGGAAATATTTATATTTAATGTAAGGCAAGATATCGTTTTGGTTGTTACCATCTACATTCTTTACTTTGGTCCAGGAAACAAAGTCAATTTTCGATAAAAATAAAATGTAATAAGTAGGTAATATTTTATGAAACAGTACAATAAAAGTATTGAAATAAAGTATGCTCATACTCCAAAATGAGTCCTAGAGTTAACATTTTTATAATATTATAAATGGCATATAAAACGATTGGACCGTTTTCACAATCGCGAAATAATTTTTTTTTATTTGGTGAAATCCCGGCAATTATTGAAAAATAGATTTTATGTTCAGGACTATTATTATGATTCTTCGAACTCAGTCTACTAAAAACCGGTTTATAATACAATATCCCCTAATAGCTAGTCGGTCGATATTTATAGTTACTTAAAGGTTTCTGTAATAATTTGCACTAATTCAATCTCTAGTCGGTAGGTAACAGCACCTCCTTGATTGAATCTAAAGTGACATAATTTTGTTCAGAAATTCCTAGGAGACGCTGTCCTTAAAAGCTTTAGCATCTGATTTGCAAATTAATTTTCCTAAAAAATTTCTATTGTCTGATGTTAAAGTTTTTGAATTAGATAGGAATAATTTGGAAACTTTATCCTACAAGACTTCATACGATGAAAAATTTTGCAAGTTCAAATTAGTATTAAAAATCGTAGAAGCCAAGAACCAAAGCAAGATATCAACCTTCAGCCAGCTTACAAAACAAAAGTTGGTATCTCAGATACAAAAAATGGTCCGATAAATCTAATTAAAAAAAAGTGTGTGCCCTTGTATAATATAAATTTTTTTGAAAGTTCGTAGATGTTGTTTCAAGTAAGAAGTTTTTAGTATTTTCTGTAATTAAACGTAGTTTCTTAGTTTGCTTATTTTAGAAACGGATTTTTGTTATTTATCTGACAAAGATAGTTTTTAAGTTGCAATGTTATGTTTTTGCTGTATTCCGTATGATAAAATGCTAATTAGTTGTTTATTTGACAAATACAGTTTAATTTGGTTGAATTTTATAGCATTTTTGAACAGAAATCCCTTTATATTCCATGAAAAATATAGAAGTAACTCTGCCTATTTTATATTCAAAAAGGTTACTTCTATCAAATTCTCCCTGATCTTATGACAAAAAATAAATTTTACAATTCAACAGAGGCACAAAGTCTGTAACAGAAGTCAAAAAATTATTATTCTAGCAATGCCTAACAATAATAGAAAAGACATAAACTTTAAACGCCTCTCCTGAAAAATGATTTTGAGATATCACTCTCTTCTTCCGGGTGCACGATATATACAACTCAGTGACTCAGTACGCCTTAACCTCCTGAGACCTAGTGTCATTTATATATAACATAAAACTAAGATAATTTTATCAGCGCCATCTTAGAAAATATAAGCTAACTTATATGTAAGTACGAAAGGAGAACTGTTTTACTTTACAATCTCAGGTGGTTGCAAAGAAATCTGTAAAAATATGTTCGGTATGTAGTGCATATGACAAATGGTGTGGTAACATGGCCGACCGTTCCCGAATTTGCTGTAAGTAACCTGACATTATTAAGAACATCATATGTTATTTATTTATGTTATTATAATAATAATGTGGTTTGATGAATACTTTACATGAATCGATAGTTATTTTTTGTAATCGATGACGGTATACAGTGTTTATCGATCATGATAGTTTTATGTCATACTGCTATTACACGGGGCCTTAGCCTCTATTGACCTTTTCTTTTTATGTCATACGGGTATAACATGTGTTCTTAACAACTATAAAAAAATAATTAGTAATATTTTTGACTTGACAACATAAAATAAAGGTTTCATTTATTGCAGCACTAAGTGAAAAGGAACTTGAAAAAGCTCTTTACGAGTCGGATATTAGTCTCTCCGATGAAGATGATCATCAATATGAACCTCCAAAACGAAGTGACCACAGTGATGACTCTGAAAGTTCGTCAGACACAGACACCTTGGAACATACTGAAAAAATTGGTTCAGAATCTGAGTTATCACTATCATCATCGATTGTACAACGCCCAAGTGGACCTACCAGAAATAACTGTGGACGTCGTGGTCGTCGGATTGCAACAACACGAAGAATAAGGCGTACTTCTAGTGCTCCAGCACCGGCAGTAAATGACGAATGGAAAGGTAATTTTATGCCCACAGAGAAGCCTCTTCACCAACCAAGATATAAGCAGGAGGACTGTCAGAAATGGACACCTGAAGATTTTTTTAAGCAATACATCGATAATGAAATGCTGGAAATCATGGTAGTAGCAACAAATAGAACATACGTGGAAAGGAAAGGCGTACCGCTCAGATTGACAATTAAGGAGTTAAAAACATTTATTGGTATTCTGTTCATTATGAGCACTATAGAACTACCAAAAATTAGAATGTTTTGGTCGAAAACGTATGGAGTTCCAATTATCAGAAATGCTATGACACGAACTCGATTTTTTATGATTAGATCCAATCTAAAAGTCGTTTATGACCCCGAAGTCACTGAAGCAGAAAGGGCAAACAAAATATGGAAGGTTATGCCTCTGTTTAAAAGTATATTACGGGGCTGTCATGTTCAAACAAGATCTGATAACATAAGTATTGATGAAATGATAATACCTTTTACTGGTCATTGTGGCATTCGTCAATATTGCCCAGGTAAACCAAATCCCGTAGGCATTAAGATTTTTGTGCTCGCCAATCCTAATGGGGTAGTATGCGATATGGTAGTATATTAAGGCGATTCATCGTTCTCTGCAGATATTCAAGCTACAATTATCAGTTTATGTGAGACTCTTGTGCCTGGCCATCACCTTTATTTTGATCGTTATTTTACAACGGTAAAACTCGCTGATTTGTTGCTTGAAAGAGGCTTTCACGCAACAGGTACTATTATGAAAAATAGAATTCCCAAGAACTGTATATTTTTGCCGGAAAATCAGTTTATGAAAAACCAAATAGGTACAAGTGAAATAAAGGTACGGGGCGATGGAAGCATTGTCATTGTTCGATGGTTAGACAACAAGCCTGTTACAATTCTTTCGACACTTCATGCGGCCAACAATCCAGATCAATGCAGGAGATGGTCTAAGCACAAAAAGGAATACGAACTAGTAAGTAGACCAGAAGTTATTAAAAACTATAATCTATATATGGGCGGCGTAGACCTTGCTGACAGAATGTTGGCAGTCTGTCCTTGTCGAGCACGCACCAGAAAGTGGACAATTCGTTTTATTAGCCACATGTTTGATTTGGCAGTTTGTAATTCATGGTTTCATTACAAAGACATCCAAAAGAAAAAATATATACCAGCCAAAAACATTCCCCAATTGAGGTCTTTTAAATTATCATTGGGAGAACAATTGATTGCAAAAAACACGGTTTCTTCTGATTCTGAGAGCTGCAGTGACTACGAAGATTTGGAACCTAAACACAAAAAGCGAAGGGTGGAAATTCAACCAATACCTGCCGAAGTTTTACGTTATCATAAAGCTGAACATATGGTCGATTATGGTGATAAACAAAACAGATGCAGGAAACCCAACTGTAAACATACTACGACAGCATTTTGTGTCAAATGCAAGATATTTTTATGCAGCACACAAAAACGAAATTGTTTTCTTCAATTTCATACCAAAAATTAGTATTTTTGATTTTTTATAAATTTTTATTAACTTTAAATATAGTTTGTTATGTTCAATGTATTCATTTTTAGTCTGAAAATATAAAACATCCTAAGAAATTAGCAATTTTTATTGTTCGTACTTATATCTACTGTTTAAAAATTTGGGTAACAGAGACCAAAAGTCATCTACTTATAGCATTTGTTCTGGTAACAGAGACCAGATGTTATACATATATGACATTGAGAAAATGCATAGTTTTCGCTGAAATTTTTTTTTATTTTTTTTTACTGTAAGCCGCAGTGATACAAAAGTAAACAAAGTCAAAAAAACCAAATAATATCAAAAAAAATATATTCAGGCCTCAGGAGGTTAAGGTACAGCTCTGTACTCGACAACGAGGCGGATAAAAGAATGATATGTGTCAATTAGGGTGTTTGTATTGAAACTGCCCATTCGTCCGCACGAAGCCCCAAGGAGACTGGCTCGCTTTTGCATCTTATCAAGAGAGCGTTGTACATTAGCTTGTTTATAAAGTTATTTAGTAGTTTTTAAATTGGTATTCAGATTAATCTTTTAATTAAAAATAATTAGATGATTTGCTTCATCATCAAAGAGAATTTTTTATTAAGAACTAATGTTCTCTCGGGCACATTAGTACATATTACCATGCTGTTTTCGACAAAAAAAACGCTTATTTACTTAAACATTACTTACCCACTTACAATAGCGAAAAATTCCACACAATTTGATAGTATAATAACTCCAATATATAAAAGCAGTCCAAGAGATATAGTATTGTTAATCTTTTTAACAAAACTAAAACAATATCAAAAAACAAATGAAACTATAATATTTAAAAAAAAAAACGGGTGCTCAAATTAAAGTGTTAAGGTAAAGTGGGGTAAGAGTTTACTAAAATTATGCAAGTTTATTTATGTGTACTCGTAAAAATTCAACCAAAGAAAATAATTAAATTTCTTGGCATCAGTACGTTACTTGTTGTCTTCCTAATATGCGGTAGTAGCAAAATCATTAAAATGTTAAAACTTTTTATTTTGTGCTATTTTTTTTAAGAAGGTATGTACTACACAAGTGTGTACTTGGTGTATATTTTGCTTATTTATTTTATGCATTTAAAGAGGTCAGGGGCATGTGTGTAAGTCTCAAAAGAACGATGTTTAATATGCTATAATAAACATTTATAAAAAAGGAAAATCGATCTATGAGTTACAAACTTTTTATTTAAAAATAATAATGAAACGTAAAAGTTACAATCGCTAAATTAAACTAAAAATCAAATTTAAGTATGCAAAAATAGAAAAAATACATTTTTAACCAATAATTTTAGATGATATTATAGTTTTATTGTATGTCATAAGCTGAAAAATTTAGTTCAAACCCTATTAGATTATGTTTAGTAAAGGTCGGTTTAGGAAGGGTTAATGTTATATCCTCTCTAGCAATAAAAGCACAATAATCTGGATATTTCCACGCCAAAGTTAAAGAGGAGAGGAGTACTCTTTTGGTAAATTTAATTTCCAATTCTTCTTCATATTTCTTTGCCTTAATGACTTGACCAACATAGTACTTTTTAAATTTGTTTCCTAATAAAGCCACTAACACCCAGTCACCTTCATCTATATCTGTCAAAAGTTTATCCATTTCCGTCATGTATGCATCAAGTTCTTCCATCTCTGTAATCTCTTCCTCTATATCGTCATCACTGCCATTAAATATAATATTTTCATTTGAGTTTTCTCCATTTTTCTCTTCTTTAAAGTTTCGACTTTTGCTTATTTCCATGAGACTTTAAACTTTATCATTTGTTATGACCTCCGCACCTTTAGCCACTCTTCGTTTTATTACCTTTTCAGTAGGATTTGATTGTTTAACCGTAGCCAACAGTAATTCTTGGAAGTCTACAGGTTTTCTACGTTTCTCTCAGAGAGACCTGACTGTAGCGAGTGACTCTGATTGTTATTAAATACCTGATCAGGATTACGTTGTTGGTCCTTCCATCTCTTATTCACTGCAGCATCATATTTTTCTTTGGTAACTACGTTAGAGTTAAAAGGGTAAATGTCACCTTTTCTAAAACCGTTGCAAATTATCTCAGGTTCTGTTTCTTTCCAAATTTGCCCTACTAATGAATTGAACTTCTTTTTGGATAAATTTCTTCCCTCATTATGTGTCTACCATTGGACAAGTGTTTGATCCCACTTTACTTTTAACGACTTAAAAATGCTTAAATCTAGGGGATGTAAAATGTGAGATGAATGGGGCGGAAGCTTAAGGATTGTTACTCTATTATCGCGGGCAATTTTTATTAGTCTGTCATCGACGTGAGACACGTGTCCGTCATATATAAGTAAGACGGGCCCTATCAGGTCCAAATACTTCTAATAAAGTTTTTTCGAAGTAATTTAAGAACAGTTGGGATTCCATCCATCCATTGGCAGTCGCGGCATATGAAGTTCCTGGGTATTCGTCTGTAGAAGGAGCAATCCAGTCATCACACATATTTTTTGCTTTAAACATGATCAATGTGGGAGCTTTAAATCCATCAGCGCTAACCTCCATCAGTACAGTGGTATTATCCCTTCCAGATCCATCAGTTGTTTGCGATGAAGGTGCTCCCGTGTTTCCACTACTTTAGTCTTTGATGGATCCAGAGAAAAGCTGGTTTAAACTAGATTCCAAATTTGAGGAGGTTTATCGTGTAAGTTAAATTCGTCTCTTTCTTCAATAGGTCAAAATAGTTATTTATAATAAAAGGACCCAAATACTTTTTCTTGCGTATTCCACCGATTGAGATTTTTTTATTGACAAAAATGTGTCTCTTGGAAAACCCCAAAAACCAATCTTTTCCCGGTCGCCCATTCTTAAATGGTGTTTTGAGGTTATTTCTAGTGAAATATTGCTCAACAGTATTAAAACTGTCACGTCGTGTTAACCCCCACCCTCATTTTTCCATTGTGATTAAACATTCGGCGAGTTTAGCTTCTTCATTAATGGGAATTGCCGTGGAGCTTCCCATAGATGAACTTTTCTTGCCTCTATTTCCTCGCCTGTGGTAACTAAGTGTCATCTGGGGGATACCGTATTTCTTATGAGCACCGTATTGGGTAATTATTCCCCTATGTATTTTTACCAATGCTCTCTGAAGGGTGTCCTCATCGTAGGTTGAACGTTTGTTAGATTTTTTTTGGTAACAAGGAACCATGGTTTCCTAAAATATAACAAAAACAGGTTACTTATTTTATTTAATTGCCATGGGGCAAGTGTGTAGTATACTACACACTTGTCCATACTATCTACTACCATGGTATAAAAAATAAAAGGTAGGATATCAACAGTGTCAAAAATAGGACGGCCACGCGCATGGCGTCACGCGTAGAGTTTGTATAGGCGCGAATTTAAAAATACTAACGAAGTGTGAGGAAAATATATGCTAACTTATAGAAATTTGATGAATATTAAGGATAATATTTTAGAAATTACATGAAATATCTATGGATATTATTATGGGATAGTTAAGGAAAGAACTATGAAGGAACTTAAATGCAAATACATACATAAAAGAAATATTTTTTTAAACAGTTTTTTCTTTTTTTTTTTTTAATGATTTATTTTGTTTATACAAATTCGACTTCTAAAGAATAGTTTTTATAACCAGGATAATAAAATAAGGGGTATCTTCGCAACTCGAAACTGGGGATTCTGGTAACAATTTCACATCTGGATATGCTGGAAATTTTTACCTGATTAGGATTTGCAACTCATTTACCTGCATTATTTTACCCAATTGAATAAAAATAAGTTAATTTTTTTTTATATAATGCAGACATTCATATAATATAATGCAAAACATAAAAAATGTACCAATACAAATAACTGTTACAATACAAAATTAAAATAATATGTCGCTGCATTTTTCCTGGACCTAGTGGCTGACAGTTTTTTAAATCATTTATCGAGTACAAGTCGAATTTTTTTTTGGTAACATTTACAATTTTATTTTTGCTTATATTGCGAAATTTTTAGCCTTCAAAGGGTAGAGTCTTCAGTTTAAAAGTCCCAAGTTGTGGATTAACCATTGTGATTCACACTGGTTCATTATGTGAAGTTCTGATTTAAGATCTCTTTTATAATTGGAAGGTTGAAAGTGCTTGGAATACATATGAAAATTTATCTGCAGGGTCACAAGCCACTGCAAGGGCTGCTCCATGCCGAATTTTCTTGGGAAGGATGGTAGAATTGCCTATTTAGCATATTTTTTTTTTTTAATAAAATGCTCATGGATTTTAAGAATTTTAATCTAGGGAACGGCATGCTCCCCTGGGCCTCCGCTGGAGCCGCCCTTGGGCTACTTCTAACTAAGCTCTTACTGTCGAGGAAAGCGAGAAACCGTAATATCTTTCTTGAATCCTTTCCTTTAATTGTTACTGTTACATCCGTACTGCAATTTTTCAATGTTTTTTATTAAAACCACTCACAGAGAATAAAGTTTACAACACAATATAATACAAATATCTGCTTAGTATCTGTTCATTATCTTATAAATCACTATAAACGACTCACAAACCACTGCAACATGCGTCTGTCATATGATATTTATTTCACGCCAGCTCTACTAACTCTACGCATGACGTCAGCGCCGCCATGACACCATGCGCGATATCCCCCCCTGATCTACTACACACTTGAACACACATGAGATTTCTGTGAGGCAACTTGTTTAGTAAATAAAATTTTTAGGTTATATCTAAAAAATACCAAAATATTTGCAAAACTACGAAAAGATTTACTTTTTCAAGTTGCTATATCGATTTAATTGATAAAATCATTTTGCTTTTTAAGGACGACGCGACGGCAGATTAAAAATTATTAACCAAATTGTGTTCAGTGCCCACACTGTCATGTGTTTTCTTTGGATACCAATGCGTGTCTAGGAATTATTTGAGCTCAAACATTCTACATTAGAAAATGACATAACATGTAGTTGTACCCCTTGCTCATAGATGGAGCCACAATAACCTCACTTACCCCACCTTACCTTACAGCCAAAAATATGCATTTTATAAAAAAAAGTTTTAGACAAAGGTTTTATAGTTTTTTTTGGGGGAGGGGGGTAACATTTTGGCTGAATTCGTTTTTTAGAGCTGATCATTATATGATCATATTTTGGCGAATTATTTTCTTTCAAATATGGACCCAATTTTTACATATTCCTTTATAAAAAAATGTTTCCATTAAAAGTTTCTTATTTTTTTTATAAACTTTAAAAATATGTAAAAAATGGGATCCGATTTTAAAAAAAAGTTGGCCCTATTATGGTCAGCTATAAAAAAAGAATTTCAGCCAAAATATTTCTCTTAAAAAACTATAAAACTTTTTTTTTATAAAATATATATTTTCGGCTGTATTTAACTGTAACACTTTAATTTGAACACACGATATATAAAATACCTACTTTAGCAAAAAATTGTGATGTTCTATACATCTTTTTAATTTCTTTCGTACTAATAGTTGATCTTTTTCATTTAAAGGTGTACTGGCTAACACCCTTTGAATTTCTTTGTTTAACATTTTAAACTGAATGGCCATCAAAACTATTGTTGATCCGAAAAAGGCATCAAATGAAATACAACCGCAATATATGACGACCATCGTATATTGCTCAACTACAACTATTGGATAATAATAATATTTGTTTTCTGGTATATAGCTTTTAAACGGTAATGTCTAGAATGAAAAACAATGTAAATACAAAATATTTAGTAAAATCATACAATTTGAAGGATTAATCAGATCTGTGATGATATATGGCTGTGAACCCATGTTCCAAATAAGTTCCAAATGAACATTCTTTGAGCTAGACTAGAGTTAAGGCAGGAAGTCATAAACTTAAATCAGGAAACATATCAATATTACAAACCCCTTGTTGCAGTAACGGCCTCAATATAATCATTAAAGACGTCGGTACGGCAAACGCTAAAAAATATCCCATGATAGTTTTCAGATACCACAAATACTTCAAAATTTGTTTTTTCTCATCTTCCTCTATCAGTTCATCGACATTCCAAAATTGTTTGCTAACTTTTAGTAAATCGATTATTTTATCATGCTGTTTGCAAAACCACAGAAGTTTAATCAAAATCTTAAACAGGAGAAATCTATTAAAATAACTTAATAATTTCGTCAGGAGTAAAGTGGTAAAAATAAAATTTATTGCATAGCCTAAATGCTAAAATACGCTTCTTTTTTAATTGTTTTTTGACTTTTTTCTTCTTTTTGTCGTCTTTTTCTTCTGCGTTTTCTTTTTCTTTTTCTCTTTGTCATCTATTTGGAGAATGCTAATGGACATAACAAAAGTGCATTCTTAAGTACAGACACAGATACGAAAGCTGACAAAGAACATCAAAATTAAGAGAGAGATAAATGGCCATACCCATTTAAAGGTCCCTCGTAGCTATTCGTTTTCACTCGCACAGTTCCGAAGGCAAAAGTTGTGTCATTATGCAAAGTTGCCGATGCTCCTAGGTTTTCTAATGTTATGTGACATTGGACTTTAAGTCAAATGAAAATGTACATACATTTTTTAGTTACCACAGACGTTACATACAAATAACGCATAATTAAAATCCACTAAACATAAAATAATACAAAACCATTTAAAAGTTTATACTTTACATTTATTAATGACAATCAATGACACTTTGAAAAACGCGTGAAATTTTTATTTTTTATGTGACAACCTTGCTTAGGATTCTGTAAGTAAGGTGACATTTCTGTGACATTCAGGACAATCAGGACCGGCCGTGGCGCTTTGGACAAAAATAGTGTGTATTTGTGTCTAGTCTTCTTCTGTAAATAAGTTATTAGTGAATCGAAGAATATACGCCGTGGTGGCATCTACGATACGTATAAAATGTCTTCGAATTCATAGTTGCAAATTTATGAACACTTTTCTACTGCAACTTCCATTTCAGGTAGCAGCATTATGTTTATTCATTTGGAAGCTTATGATATCAAACCATTATTTAGAAGTCTAAAAACACCAAACGAATATTTTTCTCAATACATTTATCTGTTGGAATATTTATTTTTTGAAAAATAATTTAACTTGTCCTACACCTGGAAATAATTCGTATAATTTATTTAATACAGTTCAAGGATTTAAACACCCTTGTCAGCATTTTTCTTATAATTACCTTTTAAAGTTATTTATTCGTCTTCGAATATTTTACCTCATAAGCTCCCTTTAATTTTTAATTTATATTTGTTGTAGCAGCAACAGCAATACACATGAACATTTCTGAATTGTATTCTAGTAAGTAATAAGTTTATTTATGTTCAATATTTTTTCGATACAAACACTAAAAAAAAATTTATTAGCACAAAAAAATATTTTTCTTTATTAAATAAGAAAAAACTTATTTTTTTAAATATAAGATTAAAATAACACGTAGAACAATTTATATTAATATATTGATTTATAATTTTTCATAATATCATTTATCCTATATACAAAACGATTACCTATATACTACTCGAATGTGTATGTATGTAAATATGTACCTACTAATCTAAAATTCCGTAATTATAGTCAATTTTTATGTATGAGAGAGTATTAAAATAATAAAGCGTTCATAATCCATAGGCGTACCACTTCTTTTAGTAGACAGTTAAAATATTTTTTGAAGTTATTCCTCGAGTATACACTTATATTTTCACCTAATTAACCTGCTTATAACTTCTAAACAGCTGAAGGTAAAAAAGTGCAATTTTTTCTAAAATGTTTTATTTTTCCACAAGGTATGTTAAGAACATTGTGTCAAACGGGTTATGTAGATATAAGGGTTTAAACTTTGACTTTTAAACAACGTTACGTTCATAAATAATAATTTTAATATAAAAACTACTTCTTACCTACAAATCCAAATCAGAATCAAAATCAGAAGATGAACTGTCGCAACCAATATTTACAATGAGTGGCTCGATCATTTCATCAGTAATATTGTCCAACTTCCACATTTTCTCTTCTTCTTTAATCGTATGAATTACTGCCTTTTCCCAGTTTTCAGGCTTCACATTATTTACAGCCTCCAAAAACAACTGTTTAACATCACTCATTTTAAAAGAATTATTTTTTCTTGAAACTTCTCCCTTTATCTGTGCCCATATCAGTTCAATCGGGTTTACTTCGCAATGATATGGTGGTGATCTAACCACCGTCATCCCACGATTTTTTGCAATTTCATCAATTTCATATTTTTTGAATTTCTCTTTATGAAGGGAACACAAATAATACAGTTCTTTTCTCACAGAACCGGGATGGAACTTAATATTCTTTGAATTTAGCCAATTCTGTAAATCTTTTTTTAACCACTTGGTTGTGGGCATTTTTTCTATAAGTCTCGAGTGATAACTTGCATTATCCATTACTACTATACAATTCTGAGGAAGAAGATCTATAATTTGTTCGAACCACTCTTTAAAGACATCAGCATTCATGTCCTCATGGTAGTCACCGGTACGAGTAAATTCAAAAGTCAATAAACCACCTTTAACAAAACCGTTTGAACTACCGATGTGTACTATTATTAGTCTGCGCCCCTTTCCTGATGGTGGATTTAAACCAGTAGATAAATTATTTAAAAAAGCCTGTCTTCGACTTGTAACAGTTTCATCTTGCCAAAATTTATTTGGTTTATGTCCCTCGTTGATCCATGTTATCTAAATAAAATATATGTCTTTTTTGGTTTCTCATTTATTTTATAGTCCTTAGGTAATTTCTTCTCCATACTACAATATCGCTTCTTTCTATTAAAATAGACTTTCTGGAATGCTTTTTCCATAGAAAACCTATTTCTTTTAAAAGTTTCTATAGTGTGCTTCGACTCATTTCAGGGTAATCCTTATCATCTCGAACCGTGGCAAGAACTTTGTCTACTGTCGGAAATTCTTTTCTAAAGAAGAACGCATGCACTTTCCTTCAAAGTCATTCTTTCAAAAGATTTTCTAATTGAAATTTTGGTTTTCCTGGAGCTTTACGTGCTGTTTGAAACTCGCAACATTTCTCTTCTTTAACAACTCTGTAAATCGTAGATATCCCAACACCAAGCGTACTATTAACTAATTCCACTGTGTCATCAACACTTTTACATAAATGTTTGTCTGTAAATGATTTAAAACAATTAAATATTAATGTTTTTTCAATAACTGTTAAAGGACCGATTTTTTGTCGTTTACGCGGCCCTTCCAAATTTTCCATGATCACACTAGAATTCACACTGCACCTTGCAAGTTGCAACTAAACGGCATTTAGTAAACTGTCAAGAATACACAACTTGGACCTCCTTACTAAATGGAAAACCTATGATCGCATTTTCGCTGAAATTTGTTGGGAAGGTATTTATCTACTTATAATTCGATTACTATAAGAAATTCTTGGAATTAAAATAAAACAAAATTGACAAATAGGTACTTATTAAAAATAATCTTAAGATACGGCTATGTAATCTTTAATAGACAGGGCTTTTGGCCTGTCCAAACCTTTTTCTATTGTTCTGTACAGCTTATGTTTATAAAGGACCAATAAAAGATCCAAAACTTGTAATAGCTCAGGTACATTTATTACAATTTTAGGAAATATTTAGATTATTCTGTAAAAATATTTAAAATGACTGTACTAAGTTTTGCATTAGAAATGCTGTTTTATTACTCTCTCATACATAAAAATAGACTATAGTAAGGGGCTGCAAATCTGGGCGGAAATGAGCCGGGTATTTTGATTAACCATAACCGTGGGCGGAGATGAGCCGAAAAAGGTTGCGGGCGGAGATGAGTCGGGCGGAGATGAGCCGACACCAATCATTCGAATGGTAAATCATTCGAGTATTTGATTTTTACCATCATTCAAATTATTTCGATTATACTAATATCATTCAAATTATTTAAAATGTCTGAAATTGTAATAAACGAACGAGAGTGGCTTCAGGAGAGGTATTTTAAAACCATGGTATCTCATTTATCTCAAGATTTTCATGAAAAATGTCATATGTCAACATGGAAATAGTATTTTTAAAGCCAGTGAAAACTAACTGACTTTCTCGCGCTTTTTTTGGAATAATTAAAATTCTCCTTAGAATTCCCCTAAGAATTTTAATTCCCACTGGCTCTCAAAATACTGTTTTCATGTCATTTCTCATGATAATCTTGAAAGAAATAATTTCTCTCGAGTTTGAAAATAGGTCCCCAGGTGACTGGTTGAAATATGGAGTAAAGTAGGCCGCCAAAATTACTTATTTCTCACGATACACATGTAACGTTTTTGCATCTTCGCTTTTAGCGTACCGCGTTCTGATAGGATATAATCCTACCTAATCACTGATGATGGCAACTAATAAATCATTCGAATGATACGATTCGAATACTCGATAAATTCGATTTTCAAACTTTCGAGTATTCGATTATGATGATCATTCGATTATGCCCTTCACTACTTTACATCTGACCCTTCATTAATTAATTAATTCATGAAGAATTTGATAGATATAAAACTGAAACCAAATTTAATGAATATTCATGAATAAATGTTTTGTTTTGCTTTTTCATCAAATTATACTTTCAAGTTCAGAAGTACCAACCTACCAAACTATTTGTTCAATATTTATTTTATTAGGTTTGTGGCTACAGGCGATAGAAGTGTATTTTCCAGCTAATAGGCTGTATGCAATAAGTATTACATTAAACCATTAATTACCTAAACCAACCCTGGCATCCAAAACGCATGTTTAAAAGAAAGTCATATTTAGTAAGACTGATTGAAAATAATTAAAATTGGCAACACCTATGCCATACCCATTTAAATTTCAAGGTTATAGAAATCTTATTTCAAAATTCTTTGATCTTTTGCCGGGTTTCGCATCTGTTGTGGTTAATCAGCGTTTTGATGTCCTGTGACAGACTGAACAAAATATTATAATGAAATATAGTAAAGAGAAGCCACTTACATGTAGGCAAAACATCAAAGCCTGCATGCCTTCTGTAAAATCTAACAATTTTAAATTTTCTTCATAGATAAACAGCGCGATAACCAGACTTGTAGTAGTAGCAATTGATCCAAGTGCAATCAGAAGTAAAACAGTTTGAATAAAAGTTCCATGGTAGCGAGGATGACTTCCAACTACATACGCCAACCTTTGGACAACTTTAATGTTCCAGTGATCCATCTTGAAAGAATAGAAATTTAATTACTATTACAATATATGGTTATGGGAGCTATTTTAAATCCTGCTTCCGTTGTCGTAAGCACCAAAATGTTATACTAGGAATGGATGGAATGAACTAACATGGCTTTCAGTTGAATTTTAAGAACATATTTATAGGGACAGTATTGTACGAGTAGTTGTACATGAAGATACGGTGGTACTTGGTAGAAGTGAAACTGTTATAAATAGTAGCTCGGCTTCAAGAAACTATGGACCTTTGATGATGGAAGCTTGGAATCACGATGAAGAAATTGGTCGAGGAATACTGATCGGAAAGGGATTGGTCACGTCTACTAACTAAATTCTAATAGTACCAGTAAGATGGTTCATGGAATGCGGCAAAATCTGGCTCCATAACCCAAAGAAACAAGAGGGTTATTCTCGAAAGCTTTAAAGGTTTAGATCGTTTTTTGATTAATAAATTTAACTGGGTAGCATATTATCAAAATTAGCACTCTAACTAATCTTAAGATAAATTATTTATTTCTTGTTTACATAATTAATATCAACTTCTCACCTGAATACCGTTAGAGATACACAGCGTTTGATATATTTTTGAAGCCACTAAAGCAAGACAATAAAATAAAATTCGATACATACAATACTTTATATCAATTTTAGGTGTATAGACTTTATAAATATTCAGCCTTTTCATAAATGTCTAAGTGATTTGTAATTAGAAATGTCCACAAAATGTATAATTGCACGTAACTGAAGTGTTATTATCTTTAATTAAAGAGAAATGAAAAATACGTAGTTAAGATCAAACGACATTTTTTGTTAGTTATTTTCCAGATCTTTCAGATACCCTCTGATGGATTAACTTATGGACTTAAAAATGATTTTAATCAATTTATTTTTAAAGGACTACTGACGATCCTTATGTTTATTGACTACCATCAGTGCCGATTAGGATTCATTACAGAGGATCTTTATATTATTCCGACAAGTTGAAGTTTTTGTACAAACTTTCTTACTCCTAATTTTAACTATAATCATTTAAAAATGATCATACAACCGGTTAAGTTGCTTAATGTTAACCATTCCTGGTCTGGCCATGCATTTTTTATTTAATTCAAAATGATAAATATTAATAATAAACCAACCAATAGTGACGCCACGAGACGAGAGATTCTCGTCTCTCGTCTCGTCTTGTCTCGTCCCGAACGAGACGAGAGAGACATTTTCTCTCGAAAACAGATTCGAGACGAGACGAGAGAGTGTCATCTCTCGACGAGAATTTCTCGTTTTTCTCGAGCTCTCTCGGGCTCTCTCGAACAATTTTCTCTTAGCTTACTTAAAATTTTCAATTGCTTATCGTAATTTCAAATTTTAACATATTAGATTTCGAGATAGTCAAAAAATTAACTATAACACACCTATAACATATATATATATATATATATATATATATATATATATATATATATATATATATATATATATATATATATATATTTACATCTTTCTATCAATCCCAAGCCAATTGGAGATTCTATCAAACCTGAACCACCCAAAAATAATAAAGTTGGATAAGTATATTTAATGTATATTGGAAACAGAGGGTCTCTTTATCTGTAATATGAAATGTATACTCTGAATATTTCATTAAAAAAATTTAATTTTTCTAAAGATTTTACTGGACCAGTGCAATCCTGAACCATTAGAAGATTGATACAATCTTGAACCATTTTATACAGTTTTGTTCACACTAATCATACAATTCTGAACCTTCGCTCAGTTGCCAAATGTAAATTAAGTATGAAATCTACGATTTAGTGATAAGAGAATAATCATAAAATTTAACTGTTTATATAATTCTAAACTCTGAATTGAAATTTAAAATAATTTAAGTTGGATTATGTACACATTAAAATCACTCTTGTGGCTAGGGCAGTTTGGGTCGAGATATTAAGAGCAAACTAGATATATGGATGTATTTTCTCATAAATAGGAAATCCGATAAAAAAAACTTTTTAAATAAAATACTTACAATCTACGATTTTTCCTTACCTTTGCAATTAAAAAAAATTAACAGGTGAGATAAAAAATTAATTTCTGACATTTTACAATAAACCAGATTTACAACGCTTTCCTATAAAAATCTTACCCCCCACCATCCCATAGAGGGAGAGTGGGGGTGACATTCCCAAAATATTAGGTTAAAACTTTTTAAATAAAACAGTTTGAATTTCAAAATTTGGTCAAAATGATAGGGGTAAATTTTTATAAAAAAAAGTTGAAACTTATGTCTTTTACAAATGTACCAAAAATAAGAGTTTTATCTCCTCTGTGATGATTTTTATAAATAATATCAAGTTGTTTGTTGCCGTTCATTCTGATAATCAAAATTTTATTTGTAATCATACCACATATGGCTGACAATTTAAAAACTTACAAAAACTTATATCTCATGAACTGGATGTAGGAAAAAAATTAAAATCTGGGAACTTGCAAGATGTCTTGGGGCTAATTTAGCTATTCCTATTGACCGGAAATAGATCTTAAGTCGCTTATTTTAAATACGGCATCCTATTATTACAAATTTGAATTTTACTTCAGATTCTGGGCAGGTTTTATGTATCATATCATATGCCTAAGTCAGAGCGGTTTTACCCATTTCAGTTTTTATATCAAAAATGACGTTGGTAAGCCCTCATATAATTATCAGTTAGTCCTATAAAGAAGTCCTTATATCTACTTCGGGTTGGATTCCTTGGGTTTAAGGTTTAAAATGAGATTAAGAAAACTGTCAAAAATCGATTTTTCAAATGGAACAACCCATTTTTCTTATTTTGTAGTATTTAGCATCTAAAATAAAGGTAACCTTGTATAAAGTCGTCTACAGGGTGGTCCGTTAATAATGAGATTCAGAGCTACTTTATAAAAGTATTGCGATATAACACAATTTACCTTAGTTCAATTTTTGATATTAAAGAATATACATAGTGTTAAAATAGATACATTTATATCAGTATTTTTGATTGAAATATTTGACACTTCATTTTATTAAGTATCTACTTTAACACCTTATAATATCTTCAATATCCAGAATTGAACAAAGGTAAATTTTTATATCGCAAGATTTTTATGCAAGGAATTTATAGATGTTCTGTGTCCCATTGTTAACGGACCATCTTGTAGACAACCTTATTTTCCATACTTTATTTTCGATACTAAATACTATAAAATGAGAAAAATGTGAATTTCCATAAAAAATTTTTTTTTGTAGTTTTCTCAATTTTATTTTAAACCTTATTTTTGAACAGCCTGCATGATTAGTTGTCTAAATATAAAAAAATCTATTAATGAGATTTTTTTAAGAAGGAATCCAACCCAAATTAACCAATAACATCTCTGGTCCTCTCATTTCTTCTTAATCTACTTTGGACCACTTTAAGATATGGACAATATTTGGAAATAAAACAATATTATTTTTGAAATAGGTATACGCAGCTTTAAGTTCTTACATGTCAAGTCAGCGGCGGTAAGTCCCCAAACACAAATACGTCGAAATTAACAGTCGGGTATTTACAAAAGTTCAAGCATATACAGTGTGTCCACTTAAGTTCGCAGCATATGGGAAACTTTTTTATTATTAACTTTATGAAAAAAGTTTTTCTTCACAAAAAGTTCTGCAACTATCAGATATATTTTTACAATAGTATACGAGATATATCAAATAATATGAATTTAGCTGTAAAATAAAGTACCTTTATTTTTGATAAATCACGTATACGACTGATAAAATTTGATATTTGATGGCTGCATTTTACGTTTTAGACCATGCTCGACTTTTTATGAAAAATAACTTTTTTCATAAAATTAGTAATAAAAAAGGTTTCTGCATATAGTAAGACGAGGATGGTGTCAAACCTAAAATACTACCATCAGATATCAAATTTTATCAGTCGTATACGAGGTTTGTCAAAAATATAAAAATTTTACTCTTCAGCAAAATTACCTATTTGACATATCTCGTATACTACTGTAAAAATTTAATATATCATAGTTGCATTTTAGGTTTCAGACCATTTCGACCTTTTTATGAAAAATAACTAAATGAAAATATTTTTTCCTTCGACCACTTAGGAAAGTGACACATATCACACTATATAGTCCTATGGAAAGTGCCCTATATCACACGCGTATGAATAGGAATTTACTTTCCACCCGTGTACGAATATGCAACTTTCCGCAGCAGCTGTCACAAAATGTCAAACACATAATTTCTATTTTGATCTATGTAATGTCCATATTAATACTAAAATCGATATTATGATTAAATTATTAAAATTGACGATTAACTTAGATCCTAGATATTTATTTTTAACAATTATTAAAATAATTTTAAAATAACTACATATATCTCATTATTTTAGCTTTTTATTCTGTTTAAACTTAAAATCGAATTAAAAATGCATTTGACATAAGACCTATTAGCTCAGGTTTTAGGGTAGTTTTGGTGGTTGTAGAATTTTTTTTTGTTTTTTAATTTTTGTTTCGAAAAAATATGAAAATTGCATAAATACAATTATTGTTGATTATTTTTTAAATACATTTTAATTATTATAATAATAACCTGGTTCTACATTTTTTGCTGAAATTATTTTGTGGTCGTAGGAAAAATATTGTACATCACTTGTGTGAAAAGTAATTTTTCACACTGGTGTGATAGTCGCACTCGGCTTGTGCCTCGTGCGACAATATTTTCCACTCGTGTGAAAAATGTCACTTTCCACACACGTAATGTAATATACTATACTTGTTTCTTTCGACTTACTTCTGTTTTGAATGATTCCTACAAAACGGAAAGAACATAAAATGTTTGTAAATATACGCAATGTTGCCACATTCACTGGCTCAAGATGATACGGAATTACTTTCAATACGTATATATAATTATATACCGCAAATACCTACCTAAGCGCCGCAAACGTCAAATTGTTGAACTACATATT